TTCTTACAAGAACATCGAAAGCGATTAAATTTGTGCTTGTAAAGTGAATAAATCCTTAGGAAATGGCTGAACAGAAACTTTACTGACTTGTGTATTTCTAATTTATAGATATTACTCTACTGTAATTTTTAATTCTTTTATTTTTGTCGAAAAGGGTGAGAAATCTACATGCATATTAATCTGTAATTTTTTAAGAGAGATTTTTCAAATATAAAGTGTATATGCATGGGTACTTGGCAGTAGACTAATAATCGTTTATTTGTACATACTTAATTTTGTAATTTTATATTGGGACAATAAAGTAACATTCTGCCTTTATATTTTATATACTGTGTAGAATTTAATTGTAATTTTAATATTGCTTTATACTATGTCACATAATACTGTGAACAGTATACAGTATTATGTAACTGATGGCATTTGCTTAATAAATTCTATTTTAGGCCCTCACAGTGGAAGAGGTTCACAAAGCCATATAAAACTTACATTTTATTATTAAAAATATGATAAATTCTGTATTTTTTTAGTAAATATGAATAAACCTTGTTGTTAATAAGGTAATAACAAGAGTAGATTACTCTTGTACTCTAAATAATACTTGTTTGTACAGTACTTAACAGTTGTAATGTAAAGACAGACAATACAGTGTAGGCTGTTTGATTTAAAAAGAATCTTAATTAGCATTAATAAAATCCAATTCCTTCATGTATAAATGTTAATAAAATAATAGTCTACTATATATTAATTGATTGCTTGTGATATGATTTATTATTCTGCATACAAATCCCACTTAAAACCAATATAAACATAGGATGATAAAGTTAGTGTTGCGCAACGATTGATAGCAGGGCCTCTTGCAACAACCTCCAATAAGGGAACAGAAAATAAGCTCGATTCCGACACTATATTTAATTCAGGCATTGCAGACGTGGAGAAATCTCCATTGTTCTAGATGAGGTGCGAACCCACAACCCGAACTTGACCATTAGTTTCAGGGGACTCCATCACTTGGCCATTGTTGAAACGAAATATATTGCTAGTTTAAAGATTGAATATAATGAAAATTCTTAAATTTTACATAATGTTAATATTTCTCTAATTACTTGCGTTTATTATATCTAATTATTTTTAATTTTTCGCGAAAAATATATTTAATATTTTAACATTATCTTTAAAATTACAGATACACGACGATTTCAGTTCTGTTTGTAAAATGTATTCCGCTAATTTACAACCAGAATTCAAGTTCAAGGTTAGATTTTAATTTATATTTCGTCGGTTATTTATCAGGTAATTTACAATTGTTTTAAAAATTTTGCGTAGATAATTGATTTTATGAAAAGATTTAAAGGATTGCCAATGGGAATTTCTGTTGCCGATTTCTTCTTCATAAAGAGAAACTTCCTGATAAGAGTAAGTACGAAATGTTGTTATTAGTTTGTTAAAAGTAATTTCTTTCTATTTCTTGCAGGTGGTGAGCGCTCTTTATTCCACTTTCTCCTCTATGGTGCAACTGAGCGGTGTCTTGGACAAAAATATAAAATGTTCAAGAAGTTCTTTACGAAATAATAATACTTACACTTAATTTAAATTTACGTATCGATATACGTTTGAAATAAACACTGGCTTTAACAAAGAATTAATTGAAAGTATGAAAAGTCTATGAGGAATATAATTATTCTCAGTAGAGATTTACAGTATTACAATGCTTGATGCTAGACAACATTTTGTGCTATTATGCGCTTTAGTAGACAATGACTGCATTCAGCAGACTCAACAGTTCAGGATCTGTTCGGTATTTCTCTTCTGAACGTTCTCCACAGTAGCGCTGTTTCGGAACGTGTTTGGTGTTTAGAGGTCTCATTTACACTATCTATCGCTAGCTGCAACTGACCGACGATGGCTGCTTCCTGTTCCAACGCATATGTCACTCATCATTTAGCAGGTGTAACTACGTAACAGCTATCGATTGAACTACCTTTGCTCAGTTACAACTGTTGACTCTGCTGAACGCAGCCAATGCGAGGAACAACGAGAAAGCAGCCATATCGGAAAAGAAGTACTGTACCAACAGATATTATAATGATTGTATAAATTTCACTACTCATCTTTCTACTTGTTACAGATATTTTGCTTATAAATTCCTAGTAAAATTATAATATTCAATACTTACAGTACCTTCACATACATAGGTACCATCGTTTCAGATTCAATGTATCGAGACCGTTTGCTACTTTTCAAAAATTTTAATGAACCTTGCTTAATCTTGAATATTCACGTAAGTGGTTGTGTGCTATATAAACCCCGTTATAAAGAATTCTAGACTCATTGCAGAAAAGATGGTACTTTATTTCAACCACGTGAATGTTAAACGTTTATATTAATTATTCAATTAAAATATACTACAATTACTTTATTACGATATCAGTGACGCAAGAATCTCTATAAATATAATGATAATTGTGCAATTGTTTGTGTTTTTATTTACAGCGGTATTATTATAAATATACAATAGTGTGTAACTTCATTTAAGTATGTATACTCACACACTGTACAAGTACGTAAAAACGAAAGATATCTTAGATAGTTAAGACACATAAACCTACGAGTGGTGAATATAGAATCTATATATAGAAATATTTACTCTTGTTTAAAGAGGAGTGTTATGCCTGTGTTCCTTATTTATGAAAACACATTCTTTTTTTTGTTTCTATGCCGTGTTTACATGTAACCCAGTGTTTCTCAACCGGGAGCGATATCGCCCCCATGTGGGCGTTTTGTAACAATTTATATTTTGGGGGGCGAAAAACAATTTTCTGGGCGATATAGTAAAACATTATATTAAGAACAATTAGATATTTTATTCGTTATATCGTACAATAATTAAAGAAATAACATTATACTAGTCACTAGTCTATTCAATGCAGTACGAATTTGGCGTTAGCCTTGGCCCTCCGCATCGGAATTTTGAAGTGAAGGGGGCGATCATTCGTTAGAGGTTGAGAAACACTGATGTAACCGGATATTTTTTTGAAAGGAAATACATTTCCTGGAAGGAGTATAGATAATAATGGCGGTTTCATGCTCTCAACAGATTCGTAAGTAGCTGCATTATACATTAAATTACTTTATGAAAATCGATTAAAGTGTAAGATAGAATACGAAATTAGTATAATTCTCATTTTCATCATTAAGGAGAATATAAGTAAATGGTCGTATATAATTGTCAACCCTCTAAAGCATCGACGATTGTCGTCGTAATAAATTAAAAATTAATAATAGAACTATGGGTTAGATTGAAGCAAAAATATTCCCTCCCTTAGACTTAATATTAACGAATAGACATAGACGTATCTACATATAATTTGACAGGCTAAAAAGTTTACTTTCGATCAACCGTTTAAAAGTTACGAATGACGTTTTAGTTCCGGTTATTTTTTTTCGTTTTAGAACGACTTTATTAAGAAACACGCAAGCACTCGTCAGTATTAATAAAATGAATTACTTTAATTCACCATAATACGTTTCATCTACGAGAAAAGGCGACATTTGAAATGCAAAAATGGTGTCGTTAGCGCGCGAACATGACAACCGTGTAGGAACAACTAATGCAAGGAAATTTCCCGTGACCGGTGAGGAATCAGTAGCGTAGCGTAGGGGGGCGGCAAAATTTGACAATAAATAATAATAATATCTTGTAAGAATTAAACCATTTTATTTCATATTTTCGTCCACCTACGACTCGGACCGATTGAAATGAGCACGGAATAGTGGGAATAGTGTTACCATCCGACTCGCCGTCCAGGGATATCGCGCGCAACCTGTCGACCTTTTTTTTTTTTTTTGCTTGTACAGTTTATTCGTTCTCATATACACCTCCAATATCCAATAGGGCTAAGTCATCTACATTACTTGCGTTACACCTACCCAAGTGTCCCTAGTCGCTAACTGTAACTGATTTAGAAGCAGCATGCACTGCAAATTATTCTTCATTGCAAAATGATATACGCATGCGTCAGGAACTTCTGTTCGAACAAACCTCACCTGCCGTCAGGGTCGGCGATTTTAAAAAGGTGGCAACACTAGCACGGAATTTTTCATTACTTATTCTGTGACGAAACTGAATTGTAGTCTTTTAAATTGAGATACCTAAATAAGGGTTCGGCGAAATTTTCCTCCGCCCCGGCTGACACCCACGCTACGCTACTGACCCCACGACATTTTAAAATAAAAATTCCTAAATAAGCGGTCTTAGAATGTAAAAATCATCCTTATTGTTTCTGTAATAATAGTGTCAAAACAATTATCGAAACGATTATTACATTTTTAAGTAAATTATATGAATTATTAATTTTGCTTTTCGTTTCAAAATAATGTATTTTGTACAGAATTTGTAGAGAATAAATTATGTTATATGGAGGTAAAGTCATTCAGTTGTATAAATATAGTGATTGGGGTTTTCATGTTTAAATTTACTAATGTGTTAAGGGATTTAGGCTACAGTAGAGCGTCGTTTATCCGAATCAATTGGAGACTGGGGTTGTTCGGATAACTTATTTTTCGGATAACCGATTATGTACGAAAAAATATAACCTATCCCGTGTTGAAATTTTTCTCCGTTGCGTGTCGCTTTGCGTTGAATTTTCGTCGATGTTAAGCCTAACGTAAACTTTTTAGAATAATAATCGTGGCTATTGTATCGTTAAAAATTATTTCTTTATTTTGTACAAACAAAATAAATATGTTGAAAAATATAAAAACAATTAAAAAAATTATACTTCAGAAGTTAATTTAGTATCAAAAACGTAAAATATTTGAGTAGCCTAAGACATAGCCAAAGATTGCAGCGTCACAGCACTAGCGAAAATTTAAATTTGCCAACTGGAATTCTTTCGGATAACCGACTTTCGGATAAACGACGCTCTACTGTATTTACAATACAGTTTGTTTTTGTTTCCTCTTTTGAATGTCAAATAAATTCAAGTAATATTTACTATAGCACCAAAGTATAATATGAAGGTATGATGTAGAAGCACTAAGTTGGTGACTTGATTTGACGATTTTTCGACCGTGCCCTGGCCTGTCCGATACATTAACCTCGTCATTAATCCAATTAATTTAAACTCAAAATTTCTTTCTATGTTCATATAATAAATAATATAATATATAATAAGAAAAGTGAAGAATGAAGTTTTTCCAATACAATGAATAATAAAATCGAGGAGTTTTAATAATTTTTTTTTTGACACATGAGAAATCCTCTTATACTTGTTGCATCACATTAAAATTTTTCGAATGTGAATTTATTTCAATAAACCCCTAATAAGAAAACTTAAACTTGAAAGCAATTTTATAATGATTAAGTACAGTATAACTTGTATTACAAGCAGCTGAGTTGGCTAAGCAAACCAATATGTAGTCTGTCTTGTGAAATTAACATAGTCAATGAGTCGTATGATTTGATTCGGTTTAGATGGTACACAGCAACATAACACATGGATTATATTGTGCGCCCGAGCGTTTTAAAGGCGTAAATTTTTGAGTTTTACATATTTTTACATTAGAGGATGAAAAAAAATTATCGCACGTTATAACCGAAATAGATCGGATGTCGAATCTTACGCATCGATAAAGTAGGAAGGAAAAAAGTCAAGTCATCGTCCGTTTGTTAATTAGTCCAATTGCACGTGCTAATTACTCATCATAATGAGTGAACGGCCTCTTGGCTCGGTGCCAACGACGATCGTAAAAAACGATCGTCAAGTCAAGGACGATCGTCACCTCAATGTGATCATTAGGAAGGTCTGAGTACAAGTGTCTCCCATCCCGGCGGTAGAAGACATAAGCTTGTGACAGTCAGCCAACTTCCATAGTACAGAAAGATCGTCGCATACCGTCATCTAACATAAAGTATAACTGACCGGAAATATAACTCTCTCACGCGTCATAGTGACTAGTTAGATTGCCATTATAGATAGATTTGTGTTATCCGCATTTAAGCATTAAGTCTGTAACTTCCTTATGTATACTCCTGTAAATTAACTTTAGTTATAGAATAAACCTTTATTTTGTTATTTGTTAAAACTGTCTCCTGTCTATCCGAGGAAACCTGTCGACTTACCAACGCACTCCCCACTCGATTTGCCCTCCTAGCCATCCGAACGACTCCGAGATCGGGCTTTACCAGCCCGTGCATATTTAATTGATTGGGACGAGATTAACCCCTGACCCACTGCTTATCTCACAGTATGCCAAGGAAATATCTCATGGAGGACTATTGGAAAATAGCCCCAATTTAAGCATTAATTAAACACGGGAGTAAAACACGGAAAAGTCCGCACTACCAGCCCGTTGGTGACGCGTGAACACTTCACAAACTATTACTGTTCGGTGGTTTTGTCTAGTCCGATATTCGTAAGCACGTTCGTTATGTGATTACAGTTAGACATAACGTTGTAATTTTTAGCGAAAAGAAAAGCATACACTTTAGTTTAGTATAGTAAAATCGATTATTTTTACTTAAATTAAAAGCTAGAGTGCACTTCACGAGTTAAACAAAATTGTCATAGATTTCATTCAAATAACATTTTAAATTAAAGAACATTTTAAATAGGAAAAAGATAATTGAAGTTTAGACAATTTACAAAAATATAACATTTTCCAGTCTATCTTTTAATCTTCTTTATACAACCACAGAAGTAACAGTTAACATGGTTTATGCTTCTAACACAATAAAGTGCTATAAATTAAGACACTTGGTGGGTTTTTTCATCTTTATTTAGTTGATACGTGTGAAAATTTTACACGTTTCGGGCTCTTAAGCCCCTCTTCAGCCAACTAAAACATTAAAAAAGAATATAACATACATATAAAAACATAAGTATTGTAGAAATCATAAAAATATAAAAGGTACCTTTCACTTATAAAACAGTTCTACAAAATCCTTGATCTAAAACATATTCTGGACATAAACTTATTATATAACTAACACAAACTATAAAACATATTCTGGACATATTCTTGATATAAACATACTCTGGACAACAATTATCAATTTAGTATACAATTGATTATGCCTTCCACTCATAAATCTGTTTTACGAAATCCTTATTTCCTTTGATAC